GTCCTTAAGTGTCTTTCTGAAAGACAAGCATTGATTTACTCTATCGTCTGACCTGAGGAGTTTTAGATTTGTTTAATGGAAACGACACTACTGTAAGCATTACCCGCTTGCCTGTAGTATTTATCTTTAAATCCTGTCTGTTTTGCAAATTGCAAGAGACAGAGGTTCATTTCCAGAGTTTTGTTTGAATAGGACGATGTCATGTCAACAATGGAAAAGTAGGGCTTCTAATAGAGGTCGCACCTCAACTGTCATTAGTTCAAAATCTGCCTGCAGTTTTCATTCCCTCCTGCTGTTCAGTTAGGGGGTTGCCTCTTCATCCTACTAACAGTTCTGACGTCAGCTTCCCGGATCCCCTTCTAGTTCCACAGCAACATCTAACTGCAATGTTAAAGGAGGATTGTTCTTTAAAAGTTACCTTTTTAGCTGGGTTAAGATACTGCCGGATGCTTGTTCCTTACTTTTTAGATTCTTGTTTAGAAGGCTTGAAATTTCACCAAAACATGTGTCTCCACCATACTATCCAAATACAGAACACACTAAACATGCCCTGTAGTGTTTTGTTCTTCGGACTTTGCCTGAAACAGTATATTTGGGGTTTTAAATTGAGTGATCTCACATAAAAGTGCAGTTGTTCTTAGTGAACAGTACTGATCACCTTAAACTAATGCATTTTTCAGCTTGCTTGCTGAATGTATGCCCCATGGTAAGGTGAATTAAACCCCTGACAAGGTGACCAACGTTAAGGAATCCTGTGGGGTGCACTGTTCGACAGTCTTGAATATTCCTGTTCTGAGAGAGACCAGGAGGAAAAGAGGCAGTATTGCTGTACTTGACCAAAACTAAAAAGGCAACTTCATCCTTTTCAAGAGAGTCCTTCTTTAAATCTGCAGAATCACAAGTAATCTCTTTAATTTTCTTGTGTCCGTCCGTCTTTAATTTCTCCAGATACTGCAGGCAAACAGAGCACCGAGGTGTCCCATGGGGATTTAAAAGCCGCGTCGATGCAGTTGAATTAGCGCCCATGGCGCAATCCCGCGGCCTGAAATGAATTCTGCAAGGCTGTTTATCAGAGGGTATGTTGTTGAATATTGGCATATTTTTCATATTATGCAAATAACCAAATTGCTTGGTAAAAAGACAGGGAGAGAACTGGCTAAACGGACATTCCCTGTTTTTGGCAAACATACGGTGACATTTGGCTGTGTTAAGTACAGTTTCTCAAACTCTTCAGACCAGGTTCAATCCGTTGGTGTAGCATATTATAGACACACACTGGTGACTTGCTCCGGTGTATGTCAGGTGTGAGTTCATCCCATAATCTTTCATTTGTGGTTTTCGTTCTGATTTTCCAGAATTTCTCATTGATAGAGTAATTCTGGTAAAGTATCTATCTTGTCTTGGTGCATGAATTGCTTCCTATGTCTTTATATTTTGATATTTACATCAAAATAAGTGCTCGTTTTGGGCTCCCTACTCATATAGATCTCTTCATGGGGAACACTTGGATGGGCCTGAAATCTTGGTTTAAAGTTTTTATTGTTGCATTTCGTTGGAGAGGGGAGGCAAACTAATGCATGGATTCTGATGTTTCCTTTGGGATTTAGATTGTATTGAGATGTAATGTGTACACGCCGCATGGTGTTATCCTGTGATGCTGTATTCAAAACCTAATAAAAATGAGAAGCAAAAGTGTAGCATGAGTAATTTTTTAAACCTATGTGAAAGTAACACACAATGGTACATGCCCAAGTCAGACGCAGGAAAATCTGGGGTAGATTTATTTTGGTTATAATGGATTTTCTCAAAGAAATGGTTGCATTTTGTTCGAGATGCCCCCACTTTCTATAGCATGCATAACAAGATCTCAAGAAAAGAGGACGCTTCCACAATTCAAAAAAAGTTGCCTTTCAGTTTTAGGGGTGGCACCAACTTGAGGTTTCTTAGTGTTGGCTCATTTATTTAATAAAGAAATTGGGAGCTTGCTAGACACACTATCCCCAGGGTACAGTCTGCTTTTGCTAAAGGAAAGCAGCAAAGCTTATACCACTATCTGTGTCTGGGAGGCTTGGGCAAGCAGAACTGCACATTTCTCCCAGGTGATAAGTGCTTGCTAGACTCTACACCTTCAGATTCATGGCAGTCACAAATTTGATTTGGCTATAACCCTGTTAAGACTCTAGTTGTTTTTACTTTATCATGGCAACTAATACAGAGATGATGTGTGTTCCTTCCTAGACCTCAGAATATATTATTCAAGCCTACAAGTATGGTGCATTTGAGAAGATCCCAGAATTCATTGCTTTTAGGAACAGGCTGAATGCCTCACTTCACTTTGCACAAGTCCGCACTGAACGGATGTTGTTAGACCTCTTACTTGAAGCAAATATGTAAGTATGGCAGAGACAAAAGTAAAGTAACTCAAACAGTAAACCAGGCAGGGGTTCTGCAAGGGAAGGGCAGCCTTTCCTGAACGGGTGCTTCTTGTCTACCTGGTACGGGTCATCAGAGTAGCTTTCCTGGTAAGCCTTAGGCCTGGTCTATACTAGAAAATTAGGCTGTCTTAACTGCATCACTCAGGTGTGTGAAAAATCCACACCCTTGAGCTGCATAGTTAAGCCAACCTAAGTCCCTGCATAGGCAGGGCTAGGTGGACAGAAGAATTCTTCCATTAACCTAGCTACCGCTTCTCGGGGAGGCGGGTTGCACTATAGTTGTGTTGCTGCAGCATTATAAGCGTAGACAAGCCCTTAGTTTCCCCATCTGTAAAATGTGTTCTACTACTAGGGTACCTCAGAGGGATGTTGGGAGGTTTAACGTTTGAGGTGCTCTGATGGAATGTGCTATTGAAGTACAACATAGACTCATTTATTATAATAAAAACTTTATCCAATACTTCTAATCCCTCCAATAACATTTACTACCTTCAGTACAAGCTCTAGTTAGTCCATGTTAGTTGCTAGTTTGCTGTCCCCACCAGCGTTATCTCTTTAACGCTAGTAGGTAGGTTTGACTTTTATATATGGTAGCTAACAGTTATGTGGTCTGCAGAGAATATAGACTATATCAGTGGGTTGGGCTTTCACCTCAACTATTAAACATTTGGTTTAACGATACTAATATTTATGTACTAGATCAACCAGTTTAGAAGAAAGTATAAAGTCCATGAGTCTGAGTCCAGAGGAAGATGATATTCCATGGAAAGATTTGCATGACAACAGAGACCTAACCGTCTTATTTAACTGGGATCCAAAAGACAGGTGAGTACAAAGGCCTGCAGGGGTCAGTCTCTCAGAAATGTGTTTTAGGGAGAAAATCATTTCAAGGTAAATTCCAAGTGTCACTTAAATATTTTCTAGGCTGGCTAACTGTGCACATTTAACAAGAGCATCATTTACAATTTCTAACAATGCTCTCATCTTACTTATTAACATTAATACCGTTCCCTGAATTTCCAGTCATTCCCACCTTTCCACATGGGGATTCCAAAGCTTTGCACCAGAGTAGGATAAAGGATGTTCATGGAAGCTTGCTACTGTTATGAATATAAAACATTTGTCTAAAAACCTTTGGTGCCTTTCTATAGGGACATTTCTGAGGAGCATAGGAAACTGTCATTGGAGGAAGAAACCATCTGGTTGCAAATCCGATCTTTAACTTTAAGGCTAGTAAGCGGACTCCCAACTCTTAGTCATACTGTTCACCCAAAGAACTCCGAAAAGACTGCTGAGAATGGTGTCTCATCCAAAATTGATATGATACGGTCTCTGCTTCAACAACTGGAAACGGCAGTGGATTCAGGGAAGCAGTTTCTTGAGCAGAAAATTCAGGTACCTGTTAAGGAAAAGTGATCCCAGAATCTTTAATGCCCATGAATGCAAGCACAACAACTCAGTGCATCTTGTAACGTTCTGCAGGCTGCAAAATTCACTTAACTGATCCTGAGTTTGTAGCTTTTGAAATCTGAGATGTGCCAAAGAACAACACTGTTTTCTGTTTAAGGAAAAGCTGCAACATCTTTCTTTTTCTTTCCTTCTTGCCTAGTATCCTGTCCTTGGCCCTCCTCCTACCCGAATGGCTGGCTTCTTCAGTAATGGCAGCTGTCAGTGCCAGACTAGCTTGTTTTATCTTGTTAGTGATATTTATGAACTAGATACCAATGGCTTAGGTAAGTGTTTGGGTTACAGGGAGGTTGAACCAATTTGTGAGGGGGTGTTGCATGGGGTGTAGGTGTATCTATACAGTTTCAAAATGGCTTTGCATTTAGTTAATAAATTATATTAATGGGTTGGAAACAAATTGATAAACAAACCATGTGTAGGTTATTTGAGTGACACTTTAGGTTATGAAGAAAATCACAGCTTTATTTAATCTTATGTGCTTACGTGTTTAAGTCTTTCTGAATTTTCTTACAATTATATTAATGTATCAGTCATTCACACTTGAAGCATTCCATACAGTGCATATTTTTGTGGGGGTTTTTTTAATTGTTTTGCATTTTGAAGCAGAAAAAACATTATTTAAAAAAGATTTATTTGTAACATTTTTTTATTTCAGAAGATTCAACAGAAATCCAAGAGAGGATAGGGAATAGTTTTAAATCTTTACTAGAACAATTAACAGGTAAGTAATAGTTTGGGAATAAACATTTATAGCCAAGGTGACATTCAAACAGTGATTTTAAAATTTAAAATGACTCACTTAGGCTTTTTGATAATGTCATCCTTAAATTGCTGGAGGCTGAGAATGGTATTATGTCCTATTGTTTCACTGCCATTCCCTCCCTCCCTCCCTCTCCCCCCCCCCCCCCAAAAAAAAAAAAGAGTTGTGGTTTTATACCAGTCACACACTGGAATTCTAGTTTGTTGGTTGTGGTGGTATAAGAATAATCCAAATGATTTATCTGCTGCTTAGAAATATTCTTTCCTCATTCCAGACATTAAGGTAGTTTTGAAGCGAAATGTCAGTCATTACAGATCTAGATTGCATTTTTAAGCACAGAATGGTTTTGTTATACTATCCAGCACCCTGTATAGCAGCAAAGCCAAATGCTCTGGCACTTCTGTGTGTGTGGTTATAATCTAACATTTGTTTAAAGGGGAAGAGAAAACCCTAAAAGGATTTTAATGAAATTTGTCAATTTGTAATGGCCAAAAGTTTTCATAGATTCTAGGACTGGAAGGGACCTCGAGAGGTCATCGAGTCCAGTCCCCTGCCCACATGGCAGGACCAAATACTATCTAGACCATCCCCTGATAGTCATTTAATAAACCTACTCTTAAATATCTCCAGAGATGGAGATTCCACAACCTCCCTAGGCAATTTATTCCAGTGTTTAACCACCCTGACAGTTAGGAACTTTTTCCTAATGTCCAACCTAGACCTTCCTTGCTGCAGTTTAAGCCCTTAGAGGCTAAGGTGAACAAGTTTTCTCCCTCCTCCTTATGACACCCTTTTA